TTATATAGAATGTTTAAAAAGTTTTTGTCACTCATATTTTCATGGTTTACCTTATCATCATCAAACTGTGTTGCTAGCTTGGTTAGTAAGGTGCATGTCTATTTCTGTCTGCTGATGGAAATAATTTTTAACACATGCATATGAACATTTGTCAGAACGTGTGAATTATATTTTAATGGTTACTGCCAAAGAATACATTGACTTGGTATTGTATAAGATAATTTAACTGAATTCTACAGCAACTCTTAGTTGTATGTCACTTATGGTTATGCAGTTCTGTTTTAGCTTCCCTTTTGCAACCAGATGGATTTTATTTCATTTACAGTCTGTGTTGAGTTACCATTTTTAGTTTTATTTCTTTCCTGCAGGTAACATTATCAATGGAACAATCGGAAAGCAGATGGTGGATATGTTGGTGGAATCATCAGGGAATGTGGAGATGATCCTCAAGTTTTTTGACATGTTCCTTAAACTGAAAGACCTCACATCCTCAGAGGGCTTCAGAGAGTATGACCCTGACTGTATGGGCATCATATGCAAGAAAAACTTCCAGAAAGCCATGGAAAACTGCAAACGGTTCTCTCAAGCTGAGATTCACTTCCTGCTATCCTGTGTTGAGACGAATGATGGTCAAACGGTGGAATACGAGGCCTTTGTAGATCGCTTTCACGAGCCGGCAAAAGACATCGGCTTCAGCATCGCTGTGCTTCTCACCAATTTATCCGAACACATGCCCAAGGATTCCAGACTGAAGACATTCATGGAATTGGCAGATTGCATCTTGACTTACTTCCAGCCTTGTCTTGGGCGCATTGAGATCCTTGGCAGTGGGAAACGCTTTGAACGTGTTTACTTTGAGATCAGTGAATACAGCCGTACACAGTGGGAGAAACCCCAGGTCAAAGAGTCCAAGAGGCAGTTTGTTTTTGATGTTGTCAATAAGGGGGGAGAGAAGGAGAAAATGGAGATGTTTGTCAATTTCTGCGAAGACACCATCTTTGAAATGCAGCTTGCAGCCCAGATTTCTGCCTCCAACACTGGAGAGAAGTGTACTGGAAAGCAAGAAGACGAAGTGGGGGAAGATGGCTCTGCGAACAACAAGGGAACAGGATTTATTTATAACTGGTGGACGTTGCCAACATGTCTACTATCTGTGAAAAACTTGAGAACACTGATGAAAATGACTTTGAAAGATATTCTTACAACACCTTTTTTATTCTTGAGGCTGATTTGCATGGCCCAGGTCCAGAGCATTTATGTTGTTGTTCACAGCATTATGTATGTCCTGTACATAATCTTTGTCAGCGGTGGACTCGTAGAGAGAGCTAAAAGAATGAGGATGTCTGACCTGATTGGTGGTATCCTTGAACCGACTCTTGATGAGGTCATGGAGGTGCCAAATGGTGTCGATAGACTGAGGAAGTACTCTGCCAGTTTCTCATCCCAGACAGAATTGAGGGTGATCGGGCAGATGGCATCTGAGACATTTACCAGAGAGGTGGATGGGTTGTCAGACATTTTTGGTCTCAAATTGAAGAAGGAGGGAGGTCAGTACCGACTGGTAACTCAGGATCTCACTGACAGTCTGACAGATTTGTTCAACACCACCTCTACAGCAGCTGTGAACACTGATGTATCAGAGCACCAGGAAGTGGTATGAAGGACATATTTGGTTATTAGTAGTAGTGCCACTAATATTAATTAATATTTTAAACAGATATTCTGAGGATTATTGTAAATGTGTTTTTTTTTTTCTTCTACGCAATTTGCAATGGCAGCTGTCAAAGCACCACTTAGATCCAGAGGGAAAAGAAACTGACAAAACGCCAGAGTTTGAATATAAAGAGTGAGTTTCTTACTTTTTTTTTTTGTGTGTGTGTGTGTGTATGTGTCCTTGTTTATGCTACTTTGTGAGGCCCATTTTTCCAACTTATACTGCATTGTGAGGACCAACTGCTCCTTATGGGGCCCAAAGCCCGGGCCCCATAAGAAGAAGTCCCGTTGGTGGGTTAGGGGCTATTTAGGACTAAGGTGTGAATTGGGGATGTGTTAGGTTTAGGGTTAGGTATGTACTGGTAATGGTTAGGTTATGGATAAAGGTCATGGTTAGGCTATAGACATGAATGAAAAATGAATGGAAGTCAATGCAAAGGCCCCATAAAGATAGCAAAACAAACCTGTGTGTGTGTGTGTGTGGGGGGGGGGGGGGGGGGTTAATTTATCCATAGCTATGCAACTTTTGGGCCATTCCTGAAAAAGAAAAGCTGAAAATAGTTTGTGGTGGGCTTAGAAATAATTGGAAGGCAAAAGTTAATACCAATACGTAGAATTGTGGCCCATGATTCATCAAATAAATAAAACTGTCATAAGGTTAACATCTTATCTAATTATCTGTCTTACTTTTTTCAAATTTAATCTCTTTGACCTTCACTCTGTTTGTATTTGGATTTATGACGAAAGGGAGAAAACTGAGAAGAAAGCTGGGAATACGACTGAAAAGATGAAATGGAGAACCAAGAGATGCTCAAACAGGCAAAAGGGACAACAGAGCCAACAATCTGCTCTCTGGGTGATAAGCTCGCACACCAAGAGTCTTCTGGTAAAACAAAGACACTAACACACAACATACATACTGTACATAACACAGATAAGGATGCATACTTGAGTCTTGAAATGTCTTATAAAAATATAAAAAGGTAAAAGTGGATTCCATCAGATTACATTCACCCATTTGTTTCCCCCCAAGAACTACTTTGCAAGGAATTTTTACAACATGCGTTTGCTGGCGCTGTTTGTTGCCTTTGCAATCAACTTCATCCTTCTGTTTTTCAAGGTGAGTTAACTTTGAGGTACGCTACTTTTTTATTATGACGTATTTCAGAAAGAATTTCCTGTCCAGTCATTCTATCATTAATCATGTCAAACAAGTATTTTTCTTTGGAAAGGACTTCATTTTTTATATAAAATGAGATTTCATTGGTTTTAATTACAACAAAGTAAGCAGCAATAAGACCAAACTAAATGGTAATTTAATAAGATACATTAAAAAAATATATATATATCCCAATGTTTTTTTTTTTTCGGTCACAGCTATTTTTCTGTGCAATATGCTTTCTGTAACAGTCTGTTTGAAAATTGGGACAAGTTGTCATGATCTGACTGCAAGGTAGAGAAATTGCATTTCCTGTGTAATGCAGTGTGAATGCTTATTGCTGAAGAACTTGCTGAAAAACTACTGAAATTGGCTAAATACATCCTGAAATTTAGCAGAAATGGATGAACAAGCCCAAGTTAACAGAAGAAAGCAGAAATAACACATATTTGTCATCTTTCTTTGTTGAAATCAGGTCGCTCTTGTAAATGAGTCCTCGAGGCTCAATGGGATTTACCTGTATAAATAAAGGTTGATTGATTTGCTGAAGTTGGTTTAAATAAGCAGAAATAAGCACACAAATTAAAAAATTAGCTACAAAAGCTGAAATTAGGAAATATAATGGCTAAAAAGTAGCTGAAAATAAACACAAAAAGTAGAAGTTATTAGAATAAAGCAGAAATTTGCTAAAAACAGCTGAAAAATAGCTACAAAAGCAGAAAGAACCTTAAAATACTAGAAGGAAAAAGTGAGAGCACATTTTTGTTGAATTAGGCTGAAAAAAGCTGAAATGAGTACAAAATGTGGAATTAGCCAATAAACCTAAAATGAGCATAAAACTGATAAATAGTAGCTGAAATAGCAGATAAGCTAAAACTTGCATAAATGAGCTGAAAGGAGCATAATAAGCTCAAATTAGCTGAAAGAAGTTAGAAAAGGCACAAAAATCTTGTAGTTGGCAGAAAAAATCTAAAAGGATCACAAAACAGCTGAAAGTAGCTGGAAAAAGGTTAGCAAAAGTAAGCTGAAAGAAGCTGAACTAGAACAAAATGTAAAAGGAGCAGTAAAAGGTTGCAAAAAGATCTAAAGGTTTTGAAGGATGTAAAATGAGCTCATTTCATTTTCTATGAGAAAAAAAGTGTCATAAAAGGCTAAATATTTCAAAAAGCTTGCACCAATGCCAAAAGTCATACCAGGATTGCCCTGAAAGAGCTGAATGTTTCGTTGAAATAGCACAAAAATTGTGGAACGAGAAAGATGCCGAAAAACGTACAGAAGAAAAAGGGATCACAATAGTGTGGATGCTTCATAAGCGTTCACACAGTAAGAGGTGAAACTGCAGAATCAAAAGTCTAAACTATGCATCGTCCTTCTCCTTGTCTTTGTTCCCAGGTCACACCCTCGCCTGTTTCCAGTGAGGAGGAAAAAGTGACCACAGCTGTAAACGGGAAACAACTGGGCTCTCTTATAAAAGATGACAACAGCAGCCGAGTTTATTTTGTGCTGGAAGAAACCAGCGGATACATGGAGCCGTCTCTCCATTTCCTGGCTGTTTTCCACACGATCATCTCCTTCTGTTGCATTATTGGTTACTACTGCCTCAAGGTACACAGACTTGATTTTATGCTTCTGCACACGTATATTGAAATACTTTCATTATTTTTGAGTGATTTTCTTCCCAACATTTACAGTCAGACATTTATTTAAAACTATAGAATGACCGCAGAATAACACCTGCTGTCAGCTACCGTCTTCGCCAGCATTTGTTTATTTTTTATTAACTTAATGGTAAAGGTTTTACTCCAGTGCATTCTTTCTGAAAGGTGCCGTTATTGATCTTCAAACGTGAGAAGGACGTGGCGCGCAGAATGGAGTTTGATGGGTTGTATGTGACGTGGCAGCCTCCAGAGGAGGACGTCAAAGGACAGTGGGACAGACTGGCCATTAACACACCGTACGTTTACAGTGTCTTCATTTAATTTGGTATAAATATATGCTTTTGTGTGTGTGTGCATATATATATATATATATATATATATATATATATCATTGTTTGTTGTTTAAACTTGCTAGCTAAGCAGTACAGTCATTAAACCAGTTAATGTTACATGACTAAAAATACTATATTGCTTTTTCTTTTTTCAGATCATTTCCAAGTAATTACTGGGATAAATTTGTAAAAAGGAAGGTAAGAATTTATAAAATCACTGTCATTAATTCTGTCTTGAAAATGAGGCTTGTAATTATATTGATGATTCAAATATTAACAAAAACTGTAGGTTGATGGTAAAAATGTGTTTTTCATATACTGTATAATAAATGTTATGTAAAAAAATTAGATGCTTTGGTGATTCTCAGCTGTGCGAAAGATAGTTTACCCGAGTGGTTCTACTTTCAGACTAATAGTTTGGCAGAAATTACTGTGCTTTTTGGTAATATCCTCGAGCCTTCCTTCATCCATCCATCCATTATCTTTACCCGCTTATTCCATTTTGGGTCATGGGGGTCGCCGGTGCCCATGTCCAGCAATCACTGTGTGAGGGGCGGGGTACACCCTGGACGGGTCGCAAGTCCATCACAGGGCCACATAGAGACAAACGAGACAAACAACCATTCACTCTCTCACTCACACCTAGGGACAATTTAGAGTTACCAATCAGCCTAACATGCATGTTTTTGGTCTGTGGGAGGAAACCGGAGTGCCCGGAGAAAACCCACGCATGCACGGAGAGAACATGCAAACTCCACCCAGAGGGTCCCTGGACCGGGGTTTGAACCAGGGACCTGTTCGCTGAGAGGCAGCTGCTCTACCAGTTGCGCCACCGTGCTGCCCTGCGCCTTCCTTCATAATGTATTTTAAATAACTTGGGTACTATACAAACACATTAAATGAAGTGAAAGTACATAATGTCTTTAGGAAAAAATACTTTGACTTTAAGCACTTTAAGTTTTTTGGTCTTCCAGCGTGGACACTTTGTGTACATAAAACGAATCCGTCACTTACACCTTGCATTTATTACTGTGCATTGCATCACCGCAAGACCCCACAGTGTATCTGATGGTAAAATAGTTTGATTCTTTAATAATTCACAGTTGAAGTGAGCTTGTGAGTGAGTGAATTAAAGTGATTTTGTTTGAGATGATACAGACTCTGTAAGAAAGTCAGACTGTGACTGGCTCTCATTTTACTTTAATTAAACGAGTGACATTACATCTAATAAAGCCACAACAGCTCAATAAGAAAACTTCATCTGCTCCTTATTGAGATCAAAAATTATTATTTTTTTTTCATAGCTGATGCACTGTTTAACGCATCATGCATAAAAGCAGAAGCAAAAGCCTCAATCAATCCATATTCATGATAAACCAAGTGATCACAATAGTCTTGATTCATTTACTTAAATGCACGAGCAACAGTTTTGATCACTTTAAATCTTTATGCATCTTGAATACTGGTATCAGATTAGTCTTTTCTTCACGAGGTGGTACTGCATCAGCAGCACCGTCTTCTTGTCAGCGGAACTAAGCTGCCATCTCATTATGACTGACTGCAGACAATGCGGCCAATTACTTTCTGCTCTCACTTGTCATGCTTTGTTAAAAAAATGAAAAGGAAAAAAATAAAAAATAAAGACACTATGTTTAAACCTGGCATTTTGCTGTGTTAGGTGATGGATAAATATGGTGACTTTTACGGCTGTGAGAAGATCAACGAACTGTTAGGTCTGGACCAAGATGCTTTGGACTTCAGCTCTGAAACAGCAGATAAGAAGAGGCTCAGAGACACAACCTGGAGTGCTCTGTAAGTAGAGAACTGATTTTAAAATCTCCAGCTCTGCATCATCAGAGGTCTTGTTTCATATTCATTTGGTTTAGGTTGTAGATTCTTGACGGTGAACAATTTTGCAGGATCAAGAATATCAGAATCAGAATAAAACGTGCAGTCTTATTATAAAAATACTGTAGTTTATTTGATGAAACAGGCAGCTTGCAGTGGTGTTTGCCATGTTTTACACCTGTGCAGTGCATTAGCATACAAACAACCTGGTGTTTAGGCAAAAACAACATCCAAATGATGAAATCAATACTGCCCTTTCTGTTGTGAATACATTTTCCAAAAACAGTCCATCTGATATGCAGCAACTCTGACTCCTGCAGGTTGTGTGGCACCAACTTGAATTAACATTTCAGATAAATAAATAATTATTGATGGCCAATATTTTTATAATGAACTATTTCACCAATATGATTTAGTTGTCTTTTAGAATGTGTGTTTCTGTTTGTTGCCTCACACATGGCCTGACAAAAGAAGGTCTCAGAACGTCGTGTTGTACTTCAGGAAGAACAGGACATTCTGAGAAGTTGTCACATCAGAAACACTTTCCTTTAGAGAACACACTGTAGCTCAAAGAGGTCTCATTTCATTCATGTACATGATGACCCCATTTTCCTGATTCTCGTATATTTTGTGTATTGTCGTGGTCATGCTATTTATTTCAGAGTTAACTCCGTTGACGTGAAGTACCAGGTGTGGAAACTAGGCGTTGTGTTCACAGACAATGTGAGTTTGCTTCCAGTGTTTTTATGGTTTTTCCTTAATTTAATTTTGCCCGCTTGGCTTATGCCAAAGGAAAGATAAAGATGCCACTTCCTTTAATTTATAAAAGCTAATATTACATTATGACTAAGCATCTTGTGTAAAACATGTTTCATATTTAATGATTAAATCGCCTGTGGTGAGATGTAGTTTGATACAATTGCACATGCTGCGAAGGTGATGGAGGTAATTTCCTGTGGTTGAACGTTATCTAAAATACACATTTATCTCTGTTCTTGTGATCTAATATTTGTTGTTTTTGTCTCTTTCTGCTTGTATGCATTAGTCGTTTTTATACTTGACTTGGTACATGACCATGTCAGTTCTGGGTCATTATAACAACTTCTTCTTTGCTGCCCATCTTTTGGACATCGCCATGGGTTTTAAGACACTTCGTACCATCCTGTCCTCTGTCACACATAATGGGAAACAGGTGTGTGTGTTTGAGCCCTATTTCTCTACCCGTTTTTTCATAACTGCAGTCAGAATGGGTATAATGTCTGCATACACTGAGATTTCCCACAAGGAAGCTTTGTTTTGAAGCCCCTCTTCTTTTGTCTCGTTTTGTTGATTATCAGTTGGTGCTGACTGTGGGTTTGCTGGCAGTTGTGGTGTATCTCTACACCGTCGTAGCCTTTAATTTCTTCAGGAAGTTTTACAAGAAGAGCAAAGACCAGGAAACTGAAGACATGAAGTGCAACGATATGCTTACAGTGAGTTAAATGTGCACAGGAACTGACCCTTTTACATGTTTTCGGACGACTGAACATAATTTCACTGTATCCAGGTACAATAATACAGCTTAATTTGAGCTGGATCGAACGCTCTTATTTTGACAGGGTGCATTCTGGCAACGGTTTGCTTGGATCCGGTAACCCTAGCCTAATAATAATAATAAAGTTATGAACAAATATGACTGCCTTGAATTAATAAAACCTATATTTTATATGTAATCTGAAAATTATTACATAAACACTAATTTTAAACATAATGAGCTTCCTAATATCACATCAGAGGTGTCGCTTTGCATTTCCACTTCTACTCTTAAAAAAAATCTCTGCCCCTAAAAGTTCAGTCATGGGCAATTTTATTAAAAAACACAAAAGTATAATTAAAGTTTTGCGCTACGCTTAAGTTCCTGCGCTTTTGCGAACCATCTGATGTGTGAATCACTGCAGGATTATCTGAACTACAAAAAAGTGACGATGATCTCAGCTCATAAAGAGATTTGTCATGCAGTCAAGTGTTTGAAGCGATATCGCAGCGACCAGGACATTTCTCTGAATTGAGCAGGAGGACTGAGAGCAACTCTTTTCTAAGCAAGTGACAAAACTCTAAATTCAAATTCTAACTCTCTATTAGGCAGTTTTTTCTAGTGTGGCCAAAAACAGAGCTGCGCTTGTTGTCCCAGGGAGGGCACCTGCCTGACAAATGCCCTATGATCAATTGACTGAGGAGCTGCAGGTGCTTTATCCACAGTATAGCCAGAGGACGTAGGTGTACTCTGACAGACTGAGGTTGAGTCGCTCTGTCTGCGCTTCAATATAGCGTCTCCACCTTAGATTCACCAAAATATTGAATAAATATGGAATAAATTATGACAATCTTAAATGGGCCAGTAAAATCTATGATTATTCTTTTGCAGTTGTCGAATCCTCGACCCACCTGTCAATCAATTCAGTAGGCACTAGGCTTGTCGCAATAAACAATAATTCAATGAATCGCATGATGAATGAAAATTGTCAACCTCATTTTCATTTACCATCTTTATCCTGATGCATGCTCAATAATCCAGGTAGATAAATCTAAAAAGTTAAATCTGATCCTCTGGACATTAAAAAACAAACAAAACAAAACAAAACAAAATTGTAGAAACGTTTAGTCTTTCATCCGAAAGACTTCCTCAGTCTGAGGTGCTGTATTCAGCTCAGTCTTATAAATAGCACCTTCTCGTATTGGGTCAACCAGTTTGCTGCTGACAACCAAAACCAGCTGCTCACATAATCAAGAAGGACCATCAGCCTAACAATGGATCATTAGCACACTGATGGCTGTTTACTGTTCACAGAGGGCTGAGTGATACTAGCAATAACAGCATTGTAAGAGGGGGACAGTTGAACCCGGAGGCCTCCACCCCTGTTTAACAATGGACGGTTTCTTTGCACAAAAATGGCCTCCTTACTCCTTTCTCAAACCATTGTTCCTCTCTGTCCAGGATGTGAACATCTTCATCTTTGAAAGAGTGACCGCTGGCCTGGAGATGAGTGTAGACCGCAGAGTCCTAGCCTGATGATGTTGATCTTCTGTGCTGGGCCATCCTTTTGGCCAGTGGCTGTTTAGTTTCCCCGATGTAAGACTGATCACAGCCCTCCTGACACTGAACAGCATACACAATATTACTCTGTTTGTGCTGGAGGACTGGATCTTTGGGATGAACCAGTCTTTGCCGTAATGCGTTTTGGGGGTTTAAAAGCTGCTGGGACGTTATGTTTAGAAAATAAACATCTCAGTTTCTCTGATACTCTCTCAACATACAGAATGACCACTGGTCTGGGTTCCTCCTTTTCACCTGATGACTGGCTGGAGTCCTGTTTGGGTTTCTTCTCTGCTTTCAGGAAGGCCCAGTTAGGATATCCACATTGCTCTGGAGCCTGTCTTGTGCGGGATTTCTCCTTCTGCATGGCTCCTGAGTTAGTGGGGACACTGTCTGCTCTGTGGTACAGAGTCCTGATGACTCCTAACTTGTGCTCCAAAGGGTGATGGGAGTCAAATACTGGTCAGTGTGGGTGGGTTTGCGGTACACCCCAGTTTGCAAATGTCCTCTATCAGAAACTGAGACCTCACAGTCCAAGAAAGCCAACCTGCCATTTTTTACATCTTCTCGTGTGAACTTGATGTATTTATCCACAGAGTTGATGTGGTCAGTAAAATGTTGGACTTCCTGAGATTTGATTTTAACCCAGGTGTCGTCAACATACCTGAACCAATGACTTGGTGCTGTCCCTGAAAAGGATGTCAAGGCTCTCTTTTCTACCTCCTCCATGTACAGGTTGGCCACAATAGGAGAAACTGGAGACCCCATAGCACACCCATGTTTCTGCCTATAATATTGGCCCCCATATGTGAAGTAGGTTGACTGCAGACACAGTTTCAAGAGTTGACACAGTTGTTCTGTGGAAAGCATGGTCCTGCTGCTCTGAGTGGTGTCTGATTTTAATCTTAAACTGATCACCACTACTGCTGCATCAACAGGAATGCACATAAAGAGTGATGTGACATCAAAAGAGACCATTGTTTCATCAGTCTCCATGATGACATCCCTCACCTTATCCACAAAGTCCATAGTGTTCTGTATGTGGTGTTCTGAGCTACCAACTAAAGAGATGAGTACAGACGCCAGATATTTGGAAACATTGTAAGTGACAGAGTTAATCATGCTAACAATTAGTCTTAAAGGTACACCTTGTTTGTGGATTTTAGGTAAACCATACAGACTAGGTGTGGCCTCCCCTGGGTACAGTCTGTTGTACAGAATACAGCACCTCAGACTGAAGAAGTCTTTCAGATGAAAGACGAAACATCCATCCATCCATCCATCCATCCATTATCTTTACCCGCTTGTTCCATTTTGGGTCACGGGGGTCGCCGGTGCCCATGTCCAGCAATCACTGTGCAAGGGGCGGGGTACACCCTGGACGGGTCGCAAGTCCAAGACGAAACATTTCTACAATTTTATTTTTTTTAATGTCCAGAGGACCAGATTTAACTTTTTTAGATACGGTCTTTATCGTTTCTTTGTGTCTCTTTCTACTGAAGACATGGCTCAACTCCGGTGCTCTTCACTGACCCCTCCCTTTCTCGTTTCTCTTTAAAATTTGTTTTAACCATCCAAAATCACATTTTTGGATTGTTAAAAGGAGCTAAGATGAGAAGCTAAGCTACGAGCTAAGCTAACAGACCAACCTAGGGAATAAACCTCCGTCTTGTCGAAGCTCCAAAATTCATGGCTGAAACCCGTGCCTTCGTGTAAAAAGTTGTTTTTCTATGTAAAATGAAGCTGAGAACTTGTTTACTGATTTATATTAAACACTTTGTGTGAAAAATGCTATGCTAAAGAGCTCAAATCACCGAGCGTCCACCATGTCACCATGTTAGCTCATGTCACATCAAGGGCACTACCTCCCATTTTTCTTAGAGACCCGCTCAACTATCCGTCCTTTGGTTCAAACAGTTTAATCCTGCCATCAGGTGGTCATAAAAGATACTACACTCAAAACAAATCAACATTTCTTCTAAAATTTGACAATTAATTATTACTAAATTTCAAACAATATTATCGTTTATCGCAAAATTTCTTAGACAATTAATTGCCCAGCTAAATTTGTTATCATGACAGGTCTAGTAGGCACGTCAGCAACTGAACAATCAGCAACCTCAATTTGTCCTGAAGTTAATGCCCCTTACCTGCAGAGCTTCATGACAAACGCTTTGCAGTCAGAGATATTTCAATAATTGAGTTCACATCTTTTGTTTCATGTTAATCTACTGTAATAAACTTTTGTAAAATACATCAGAATGCAGGAAATGACATCCACTTTATTCAAAATTCTCAGGGGAGGACCCCCAGACACACACCCCTAACGCCCCCCCCCCCCCCATCACTATTTGTATTCCAGCATCGTTTGGTTTACAAATTAAGCCCTGCTGTACCTCTTTCTCTTTCCACCATATTTATCTTTCCGCAACACACTATACATCATCTCATTTCCCTATACTTCAGACTGAGGAAGGTAAAGAACGATATGAGTGATCCCCAATTCTAAAATGAAAGCAACCCTCCCTTTATCCTTCTTGTATTTTTCCTTCAGATGAGAAACACATTGATTAAACACAGACCCTGAAGCATCAAGAATACCCCTTTGTTTGCCCATTCACAGCATTCACACCCATCCACCCGCTCTATTCTACTGTGGACTCTGCTGTCAGTCACGTAGGCAGGCGGATGTGCTGTGATAGCATTTGAATAAACTCTATTATTGGAGGCAGGGAAAATTGTCGTGAATCATCAGTCACATTCACTCTGTTGTTGATCATCAGGCCTAAATGACAGTAATTTAAAATCTCTATCCCGTTATTGGAATACCAATGACGTTTGTAACCTTTGGACACTGAAAACATGAGGAGAAATATCCGTCCCCACCTTTCTACAAATTCAGTTTCAATTTTGTTCTAGTTACTTGTGAAAATAGCCGTCCTTTGTATTCACAAGCACAGTACAGCCTGTGCCAGACAACGTAAATGGAAATTTTTCTCACCTCATATTTGTACGTAAATTCCTTGTTGAGCAACAGGTTATAAGGTGAAGATTATTGATTGAAAGGAGTACTACTCTGTTGATTTGTATAAAATGCTGCTTGCTCCTCCAAATGCTCACCAAATGCAGAGCAGAGGAGAAAGCATGAAGGCACCTAAAATCAATCGTGTTCTGCTGCTTGAAATTTCTCCAGAAAGTATTTTCTGAGGACAACACTTGTTTTTGAAGTAGCAGAATTCTCTTTACATCCTATCTTAAAGACATTCTGAAAACATTCATAAATATTATTTAAAAAAAGGGTTATTTTCCTACATGTTATGCCAACTACACAATGCTTCTGTTTTTACAGTGTTACATGTTTCACATGTATGTGGGGGTGCGTGCTGGTGGGGGAATCGGTGATGAGATTGCTGATCCGGCTGGAGATGAGTTTGAGGTGGAACGAATCATCTTTGACATTACGTTTTTCTTTTTTGTCATTGTAATCCTCCTGGCCATCATTCAGGGTGAGTCATGTTTGTCTCTACTGAGCCTGACAAAGTGTACACATGTAATAAATGTACATTGCATATTTTTGGGAAACCTACAGTACAAATCCATTTTGATTACTGGAGTGCAACACGTCATGATTTTTTTTGTGTGTTTGGAAAGAGCTGTGAAACTCTTCATTCCACAGATTGAACTTTTGTTTGTACAAAATGACACCACATGCATTCGTTGCCAGACGCACATTTTTGTCCATCTTTTAGGCTTAATAATTGATGCCTTTGGAGAACTTCGAGACCAACAGGAACAGGTGAAAGAGGACATGGAGGTGAGATGTGACAAAATGACTGTCATCAAAAACAATTTCTAACATGCACACCTCTAACCTAAGACAAGCGGAGACCTTTTCATTTTCCATAACTTTGATAACTTTTGCTATTCAGATTTTGCAATGAATATTACAATGAAAGGATAATTAACATGTAACTATAACCGAGACATGCACGGTTCTAATAAATGAGTAGCATTTGTTCAAATGAGGGGTTCTAACATTTAATTGTCATGAATAAATTGTGTGTGATATTTGCTTATCCATCCATATATATATATATATATATATACATACACACACAACCCAGTGACAAGGATGCCTGCAGTGCCAGCACGTTATGACATCACACACGTCGTTGAGTTTAGAATTGTGAAAATTTACAAATTTGCACTGTTCAAGTGTTGTCATTGTGTTAGAGTAAATGTCATGAATAAATTTGACATTAAACATAATCCAAGTTGAAGTGTTACATCATTTTCAACCCCCTTTTTGACATCTGCATTTGGTAACATGCCACACTGACGAAGACCATGCAGAATAATGTAGTATTTTAATTCCACAGCAGAAAAAGCTACATAGTATCTGTAAGTAGGTCTAGGGGAAAAAAATATTGGTATTGGTATCGGTTATTGGCAAAATAAGATTTAACATATCGGCATATCGGATATCGGCCAAAAATTCAATATTGTGCATCCTTAATATATATATATTAGATTGAAAACAACAAAGTGTGAGTGGAAAGGTGAAACACTCACACCTGTCTCCACCCTCATTTGCTCCACTCTGGGCCATTGAGCAAGACCCTTAACCCCCACCATCTACTCCCTCGGGCACCCTGGATGGCAGCTCTTTGCTCCACATAGATGGCTGTGGTAGCTCGATGGTCTGTAGTTGTGTCAGGAAAGGCATCTGGCGTAGAAACAATTGCCAAGCCTTCGTGCGAGTTAGTTCACTATGGTGACCCAAAGTATCATTGGCATACATGAAAAAATGCATTTTAATGAATTTGTTTCTGACATATACTTAAAGCTCAGTAATTTAAGATCACATGCGCATGAAGATGTTCTTTTTTTTTCCGTCTATAAAACTGTATTGCTGGCACTGTGTAAGCAGATTTACATCCAGAAGTTGTTCATGCACATAGCTATGTTGTGTCACATGGTGCAAAAAAAAAAAAAAGCATGGTGGAAATATAGAGACAGGCTCAGTAAAAGGTAAAGTTTGTAGTGAGAACAATCAAATGCAGGAAATACAGATAAATCAAGAATGCATCTCTGATAATCAAAGTGGAGGGGAAAATAAAGCAGCAGGGTTTCTGACAAGCTAATGTAAAAAAAAAAAAAAGAAGCTGATCACTCGTTGTCACAAACATTCAGCAGTTTCAGTGCAGTCTGTTTCATTTTACATTCACAAAAAAATAATGAATGAGATATGGCGGTCAGCTACAGTTCAGCGGACTGGAAAACAGATTCAAGGAGATCAAGCAAAAGCAAAATGTGCTATAAATTTCCGAGGGCTAAAGAGAACAGAAGCAAGCCGAGGTTTTACAAAACAGCATAATAGTATGTGGTTAGATTTAGATTCATTTCGTGACATAAGTAATTAAAAATGGCACTCATAGTTTTCAAATGATCTTTTTGACACTGAATGTGTCTCAAAACATAAAACATCCCCACTGATTTGACAACTTTCACCCAGATGTTACATTTCAGCAGCATCATGCTTAACTGCACTCAGCAATGATATATGTGGTTCATCTGCTGCTGTTATCCTCCTGCAATGTATTTCTCTAAATGCAGCTGACCCAGCTCACACATTGCATTAAAACCAAAACAAACATCATAGTAGTGTTTATTTTCTGTCATTTTACCTGCAAATATAGGGCAAAGCTAATTACGCTGTTGAGTACTATCTGAACAATGTTGAAAAACCTTAAGAATACTTTGTGAAGGGAAAAAAATGTTACACATATGTTGGTAAAGTATTGTTTGTGTGTTAACAAACACCACAGTTGAATCACAAATCACGTTTTTTTTAATGTGTGGGAATTAAATTCAATTTTTATATTTTCCCAATCCTAATTGGTTCTTCTCATCCTGAACATTTCATTGCATTGTTGACCTTTTGTTAACCTGCACATGACAAATAAACAACATAACATACTGTGTTTTTGTTGGGTGGATAACGAGGTCTTTCGTCTTCCCCCTGCAGACCAAATGTTTTATATGTGGAATAGGAAGTGAGTACTTTGATACGGTCCCTCATGGCTTTGAGACTCACACTCTGCAGGAGCACAACTTGGCCAACTATCTGTGAGTTGTTTATATTGCTTTTTTGTTCTTGTTTGTTGTCACATCATCATTTTACAAGTATTAAAACTCGCTCCTTAAAATGCGACTTAAAAATATGTATGTTTACATGTAGACTAAATGGTGTACATTTATCATTGCAAAATAACATGCAACAGATTTGAAATGACACTTTAATTGCACTTATTATGAATTATTTATTAAGCTTTCAACAATCTATGGTAATTCTGATGCACTATCTGAGCCAAAATGGATACAGTGTTTGAATTTTTTTAATTGTTTCCAAATGATTACTGATTATTGTCTAATGTGTGTCTTTCCTGCAAGAAATGTCTTGTTTCATATTCAGCATATTCAAATCTCTTCCTTGTCTTAAACCTTTTGTTTTGCCACCAACATGTGCATTATTACTACAATAGTCCCTCGTTTATCGCGGGGGATCCGTACCCTGAAGCCACGCGATAAGTGAAAAACCATGAAGTAGGGATGCCGTAGTCCAAGTTCAAGTTCAAGTACAGTAAACTTTTTATTAAGGATTTAGAAACCCTTCCCACACTCTTGGAATGTTCTAAACTCTTAAAACTAAGTCATTTTAACTTCATATGTTACTAAATTTTACTTACTAGCTCTGCAAAACAACAACAGCTCTGGTTTTGGTCCAACTCTGTTCTATTCCGAATCAGTTCATTTCTGCAGACCTATCCTGCAGCAATGAAGCCCACAATCAGTGCTCTAAACTCTTAAACCTACAAATTTTAACAACGTGCAGTACTTATATGTACAGGAGCTGCAAATTTTTACTACAAGGGCTCTGCAGAACAGGAGCAGCTCGGCTCCGTCCGACCTGATAGATGAAAAAAGTCCCGGTGCTGCATGACTGAAGCCCACCATTGCTGCTCCAGGAGCAAGACTGCCCAGGATTTAATCCATCACCTCTGACGCAGTCCAGACCAGCACTGCACGACCAGAACCAGGCTGAAGCCTGCAGCTCCCAGGATCCGGGTCATAGTGAGTCCAGATCAACTGCAGCAGCTACTCAGCAGTGAAGATACAATTTGAAGGGTGACTTCAACTTCAGAATTATTTGATACTTTCCTCCTGCCAGTTCTGTGAGCTTCTTATCGTTACTTCTGACTTTGGTTGCAAAACTTTCCTTCCGTTTGCATCAAGCAGTGGTTGGAAGCAGTGTTGACTTCTGGGAAGTGAACTGATGGCTTCTGGGTAACGTAGTTCTTTAGACTAACAAAACAGTGAGGGCTTAGTGAAAGAAAACTACAAAATGGTGGCACTTAAAAAAAAAATAATTATGTACAGTACTGTATTGAAACAAATCGCGATAGAGCGAATCCGCAAAAGTCGAATCACGAAGTAGCGAATGACTACCGTGTATATATGTATATAAATATACATATATATTTGAGTTTTGTTGTGGTTTTCCTGTAGAATATTGTATAACAAACAGACCAGAGACGTGAAAAAGACCTAACTGTGTTGGCTGAGGAGAGGCCAAAAATCTTGTATTTTTTTCCCCTTTTGCTTAAAAAGGTCAAAATGCATGAACACAGTATAAAAATAGAAACAAGCAAGCAGAATTCACAGGTTGTGTGAATACTCTGCCTATACGTCCACAACTTGCTAACAATTTCTAATGTTAAACAGGACCACAGAAAACATTTCAGTCTCAAATATTGATCCAAGTAAGAAAATGCATAGAAATTCCAGTCAAGATAAAATAAAAAACTATATATATTTTTTTTTTTTTACAACACTGAGTCAAAATACTCCTCTTTCACTAAAAGTCAAACTGGTTATTTTTGCATGTTGCACCGTTGATTATTCACTAATTGCTGCAAAAAAAAAAAAAAAAAGAAGCTTACTGAGGCTAATTACTGTGGAACCTGCATGTGTTTCAAGCTTCTCAATGTCTGACTGTTTTTCTCGTTACTTCAGTGGTACTTCATGTGACATTTTAAGTTTACCTGAAAAAACAAACAAACCCTTAACTCTCAGTATTTACATTTTTTTGTATTTCTTCGTTCTTGTCAGTCGTGCAGTATCGTCCCACATTGAACCTGACCGTCCACTGACAGCTCTGTTAGCTGATTGGGTTTCTGCTGGAAATGCACGACTGTATTCACTCAACTTAATTCTGAAAATTATGCAGTTTTTGTTTCTCCTTGATGTAGGTTATTCTCTCTTCTGTGTCTTGTAGGTTTTTCCTGATGTATCTTATTAACAAGGATGAAACTGAACACACGGGGCAGGTAGAAAATGGTTTCTTCTTTCATACTGCATGATCCCACCAAAAAAGAGAATTAGGTGGGCACTTTAAAATCTGCTGCACAATTTAACTGTCATAGAAAGATCACGTCTTTTAATATATTCATCCACAACACTTCCCCATGTCTCAGTGACCTATTAATTCCAGCATTTGCTATGATAATGATGACACTGTAGTGTAACCTTTTTCAATAAGACCACATTTGCATTCACACAATCCCTCTAAAGCCCGAGGAATGCACGATAATGATAATAATCCAAGCCAGGTGGGCCCCTTACGATTATGGCTTGTTTTTTTTACTCATATTCTGCCTTTTCATTCAAACCACACATTGAGCTTTACATTTCTGCAGGTATATTTTTAATTGTAACATTGCGCATGACGTGCTGCACAAGTAAAAAATAAGTGATTAAATGCAACAAATATTTTCTGTTTTAGTGCCTTTTGGAGTTTATCTCCAAAGACTGATGTGCACTAAAAAGGCATAAGAACTTCTATGTTTACTCATTTAAAACAATCAATTTTCAGCTTTTTCATTATCTAATAATTAGCATTTCGATTCTGCAATATGATAATACACAACTGATCATGGCAAGCAGAAGCATTTTAACGTGATCTTCTCAGACTTAAAGGGATGCAGAAGAAATTTGTGAAAAAAGTTAATTTGGTGTGCTTAACAGTAAAACATTGTTACTTTGTTAATTTACTGATCTAATACTGCTCACGGTTGTTTACATTTGATGTGATGTTTGGACGAATAACTCTGTGGACTTTGCAGGAATCCTATGTGTGGAAAATGTACCAGGAGCGATGCTGGGAATTCTTTCCTGTGGGAGACTGTTTCCGTAAGCAATATGAGGATCAACTGGGATGAAAGGAAATCAGAGAGGTCAAACGCCTCCCAGGATAGTGTTTATACACAGAAGCTGTAGTGATTGTTGTTTTTAGACTCACTAAATTACCTAAAAAATGTCTGTTTGAATTAATCTGCTATTAGTCTGCTTAATTTATTTTCCCCTAAAACAATTGTATTCTACGACGAAGCTTTAGGGACACGCTAAGAAAAAAATTAAAAGCCATAAAATTATGAGAATAAAGTCCTAGTATTACGAAAATAAAGTTGAATGAAGTCAATATTACGAGAATAAAGTCATACAAGACTTTTTTTCTTTCAACTCTCGTGTTTTTTTTTCCACGAGTCAGATCCACGACCCGACCTGTCAGTCAATCGAGTAGGCGTAGCAAATGACCAATCCTAAGCTAAATGAGTCGTAATATTATCCGAACTCCCACAGGATAAAGCAGCTGTTTACCACATTTTAACTGTGGTAAAATGAAGAATGTTGAGCATCTTAAGTTGTACTTTGGTGCTGGTTTTACAAATAAGGAGATACTTAATCTATTAGCACATCAACATCAGATTATTATCAGTATCAGGACTTTGAACCTGCTTACATTAAGGTGGTACGCTCTGATGGGCTGCAGCGCATCTCTCTGCAGGTGAGGAGCATTTAGCTTCGGATTGGTCATTTGCTCACATGCCTACAGGTCACGTCAATCAGTTGCGACTTGTGGGGGGAAAAAACAAAAGCTGAAAAAAAAATTCTCGTATGACTTTATTCTCGTAATTTTATGGCTTTTAATTGTTTTTTTCTTATCGTGGCCCTAAAGCTCCGTCGTAGTGTTCTTATCTGACAATGAAGAAATTATTTGGAATGAAAAGATTTTCAACCACGTGTTTAGTGATGAGTGTACCGAGACCGAGACAAGACCAAGACCATCAAAAAGCGTTCTTGAGACCGGGCTTGAGACTAAGACCGGTCTCGAGTACTACAACACTATGATCGTGATCCAAAATAATGTCAAGACTTTAGTTTGCTTGTTTTCTTGTTGCTGTTTTGGTAGTTGTGAGTGTTTGAAAGCAATTCATTTCATAATTTAAACTCTGCCTATGTATTCATAAATTTGTGATAATACTTATCTCACACTTCAACTGGTAATTCACATTCAGGTTCAAGGTTCTTGTTATTCTGATATGTTGCATCTTTTCCGAATAAATTACTTTGTCTTCCTCACTACAGTTTCTATTTAATTTCTCAGTGTGACATCCAGATAAACATTCTCCCTCCAGCATTTACTCTTTTTTTATTTCTTCAGTTTCACGTTTCCCTCCTCCCTGTTGTCCCCATCACTTCGGGATCCCTCTCCTCCTCCAGTATCACTTCTAATTCTTTTCTCCTGGCGCCTCCTTTCCTCTCATTCATTCACTTCTTTTCGCATCTCGTTATCAGCTACAGAGCTGCTTGTCAGCTGATGTCCCAGCGCTCAGGTCAAAGTTCTGTCAGAGAAATAGATCATCAGGCTTAATGGTGGCTTTGACAGCTTTCTCTAATGGCCAAGAAAGGCTTTTGGGATTTTCTTGGTGTAGCCAATTGACTAAAATAAAGTTTTAGGATTTGTTTAAATGCGAAAACGATGAGTTTTAACAGCAGGATGACAGTAGTGGGAGGCTCTCCTACAGACGCCGTTCTCATTAAGAAAGTGTCACAGTCTGAGCACACAAGATTATACTTACTGGTATCATGGTATGTGATGCAATTTTAGTCCTTGTCACAATGCCTCACAAAAAATAAAAATAAAAAATACAAGTGGGCTGAAATAAAAGATGAAAAATACTTTTTTCCCCAAATGTATACATTTATAATTTCCTAATAAAATAAAAATTAGTAACTCAAAAGACGAAAAACCAAAACAACAAATCATTGCACTTTTTAATGTAAATATAGTCACAATTAAGATTGTTTGGAAAACAGCTTAATGATGAAGTGATTATTTTAAAGCTTTGAAAAATCATTCTTATTTTAATCAGAAATCTTATTATGATAGATGTAAGATTGATTAAAATATATATTCTTAACTTTTTTCTTTTTATCTTTTTTACTACTGTGTTTGATTTTAAATTAGTCCTAAGGTCAGGTTAGAGAATGTAAGTGTCAATAAGTGCTAATTTGTCTTTGGGATCACCATGCGAGCTTTTTTTAAATAGACTTTGGAAAAAATCTGATTAGTTTTTAAATAAGCATTTGAATACTTGTTTAAAAGAAGGTGATTTTGAGTTTGTACACATTAAAAACACTTAAGGGTAGGTTTCTTCAATAAGAGGTGCATAATTGATTGATTGACTTATCAGACACAAAACAGAGGTAGAGGGATATTCATCCATTATCTTTTATCCACTTCTTCCTTTTTGGGTCACGGGGATAATTGGCGCCCATATCTGGCAGTCACTGTGCGAGAGGCGGGGTACACCCTGGACGGGTCGCAAGTCCATCACAGGGACACATAGAGACAAACAACCATTCACTCGCTCACTCACACCTAGGAACAATTTAGAGTTATCAATCAGCCTAACATGCATGTTTTTGGTCTGTGGGAGGAAACCGGATTACCCAGAGAAAACATACACATGCACAGAGAAAACCTACAAACTCCACACAGAATGCCCCCCCCCCCCCCTCGACCGGGATATGAGTCGGCGACCTTCTCGCTGAGAGGTGGCAGCTCTACCAACTGCACCACTGCTGCCAGGTAGAGGGATATGCCACTTCTTCTTTCGGTTTTTCTCTCTTTAGGGGTTTCCGCAGTGAGTCATCCTTCTCCATCTCACTTTGTCCTCTGCATCCTCTGTCCTCATGTCCTCACTCCAACTACCTCCATGTCCTCTCTAACTGCGTCCATATATTTGGCCTTCATCTTTTTCTTTTTCCAGGCAGCTTCATTTCTAACATCCTTCTACCAATATACACACCGTCCCTCCTCTGCACATGCCCAAACCATCTCAGTCTGACCTCTCTAACTTTATTTTCCAGTTGTTCAACATGTGCTGTACCTTCGATTAGCTCATTCCTAATATTATCCATCCTTGTCACTCCTAAGGAACCTCATCAACTTAATTTCTGCCACTTCCAGTTCTTTCTCCTGTCTTTTGTCATTGCCACTGTCTCCAGACCATACAACATAGATGGTCTCACCACTGTCTTGTAAACTCTACACCCTTTTGTTGCAAATCACTACTGGAACTTTCTCCATCTACTCCATCCTGTCTGGACTCTCTTTTTTACCTCTTTACCACACTCCACATTTTCCTGGACAGTGGACCCCAAATACTTGAAGTCATGCACCTTTGTGACCTCTGCTCCTTGTAGCCTCACTGTTCCACCGGCCTCCCTCTCATTCACATACATGTATTCTGTCTTACTACGGCTGACTTTCATTCCTCTTCTTTCAAGTGCATACCTCCACCTCTCCAAGTTCTCTTCCACCTTTTCCCTGTTCTCACCACAGATCACAATGTCATCCACAAACATCATAGTCCACGGGGATTCCTGTCTGACTTTTTCTGTTAGTCGGTCCATCACCAGAGCAAACAAGAAGGGGCTCGGAGCCAATCCTTGATGAAGTCCCACCTCCACCTTGACTATATCTGTCACTCCTACAGCACATCTCACCACTGTCCTGCTGTCCTCATACATGTCCTGTACCAGTCTAACATACTTTTCTGCCACTCCAGATTTCCTCATGCAATACCACATCTCCTCCCTCGGTACCCTGTCATATGATTTTTCCTAAATCCACAAAGACACAATGGAGTTCTTTCTGACCCTCTCTATACTTCTTCATCAGCATCCTCAAAGCAAAGATGGCATCTGTGGTGCTCTTTCTTGACATGAAATCATACTGCTGCTCACAGATAACCTCTCATCTAAGTCTTGTTTCCACAACTCTCTCCCAGATCTTCATTGTGTGGCTCATCAACTTAATTTTCCTGTAGTTTCTACAAACTGTACATCACCCTTGTTCTTATAAATGAGCACGAGCACACCTCTTTTCCATTCCTCAGGCATTTTCTCACCCTCAAACATGCCATTGAATATTTGAGTCAAAAACCTCACTGCCATCTCTCCAAGACATTTACAAACCTCCACTGGTATGTCATCAGGTCCTACTGCCTTCCCCTTCTTCATTCTTTTGAAGGCTTTCTGGACGTCACCCTCACTAATCTTTCCCATTTCCTGGTCCACAATTTCTATAACCTCTACTTTCTCTTTCATTCTCTTCATTCATTAGCCCCTCAAAATACTCCTTCCATCTTCCCAACATACTCTCCTCACCTGTTAGAACATTACCATTTCTATCTTTAACAAACCTAACATATTGCACATTCTTTCCAGCCTGGTCCCTCTGTCTTGCCAATTGGTACAAATCCTTCTTGTCTTTTTTAGTGTTCAGCCTCCCATACAACTCATCATACGCCTTCTGTTTTGCCTTTGCCACCTCCCTCTTTACGCTATGTCCCATCTCCTTATATTCCTGTCTCCTCTCTTCAGTCTTCTCACTGTCATTTTTCTTCTTGGCTATCTTCTTTTTTTGAATAACTTCCTGCACTTCACTATTCCACCACCAGGTTTCCTTATCATCCATTCTCTGTCCAGATGACACACCAAGTACCATCCTACCTGTCTCTCTAATTACTGTTGCTGTAGTAGCCCAGTCATTTGGAAGGTCTTTCTGACCACCCAGAGCCTTTAACAGCTCCTCTCTGAATTTCTCACAACATTCTTTCATCCTCAGGTTCCACCATTTAGTCTTCTCTGATTTTACTATTCTTCTCTTCTTCACAACAACAGTCATTCTACACACGACCATCCAATGCTGTCTGGCTGCGCTTTCCCCTGCCACAACCTTACAGTCCCTTATCTCCCTCAGGTTTCCTTTTCAACACAGAATGTAGTCGACCTGTGTACTCCTTCCTCCACTCTTATAGGTCATTCTATGTTCCTCCCTCTTTTGGAAATACGTGTTGACTACAGCCAT